AATCCAGGGGAGAGGGGGATATGGCGCAGCAGACACAGGACGCACGGGGACAGGAGGGGCACGGGGATCACCAGGAGTCTGAACCTGCGGTAGCGCCGAGCCGAGCGGAGCAGGAGCAGCAAGGGCGCGGCCGGAGCCTGCGCAATCACCTGCGCCGGTGCGGGAGCTGGAGCGGCGGGAGCCTGGAGCTTCCAAGATTCTGTGCGCCATTCAGGGCATTGCGCATTGCCGCAGCTAGCATCCCCGGGAAATCCTCGCGAAACTGCTGCATCTCGCTCGGCCCACCGCTCCCGCGACCGTGACCTCCCCACCAGCCACCGCGGCCCCCGCGGTGCGCCGATCGATACGACGACGAGGGGCGGCGACGAGGAGAACCGCGCCCCCGATGCGCAGCCGCATTGCCCCCCGCGGCGCCGCGTATCTGAGATTCAGCGAGACGCTGCGCGACGGGATGTACCGGCGCAGCTGCAGGGGCCACCTGGAGGGCAGGGTCGGGGCCGGCGCCCGCCGCTGTCCCCAGCGCGGGGCCCCCGGCGCCAGCTTGGCCAGTCGGCGGCGCCACAAGCGACGGCTGCGCAACGGGAACCGGCGCGCCGGTCGCGGGAGCGACGTGCGGAAGGTTTGGCGGGGGAGCCGGCACGGTGGCATCAGAGCCGGGGACGTTGCAGCAGCATCAGGAGGAGCCGGAGGGGCTAAGGGAGCAGCAGCAGCAGCCGGAGCAGCAACAGGAGCAGGAGATGGGGCATTCGCGCTCTCAGCGGTGTGACCCTGATCCACCGCTGACTTCTCCAATTCAGTCGCCATCACGACTAACGCGCCGTCAGCAGGCGATCGTAGACGCGCGGGCGCGTCAAGATGGGGGAATAGGTGGCAGCGGATTTCCGCAGCGGGCCGCGGCCAGCGCGCGGGTCGAGGGAGTAGAGGCGTAGGTCGCGGACGTGGCAGAGGCACTCAGGAAGGAGGCCCGGAGAATGCGTTCCAGGCAGCGGCAAGAAGGGCTTTAAGGGACTTAGTTAGAACTACTGAAGAAGGCGAACTATTGGGAAGCATTTATGAGGCGGAGGATGTAGACGCAAACTCACCGTCAAGTTCAAGTGCCTCAGAGGAGGCCCAGTCACAAACACCAGCACGGGGGAGAATCGGCTCAACCCAAGCTCGAAGCGCGTCAACAAATTTCAGAACCCCACCCACCCAACCGCGACTCTCACCACAGACTCGTACCGCTTCCCGCCTCCCTGCCACCACTGTCAACCACCCCGCCCAACCGAATCTGACATCACCACCTCCAAACGTACCGCGACCTACAGCGAGGGGTAACCAGCAGCAGACACACAGCCGCCTCCCCAAAAGTCGCCCGAGGCCCTCGCCAGGGACGACGCTCTCTTCGCGAATGTCAGTACCTGGGATGTGGATAAGCTGCGCGACAGTCGCAACTCACCTCTGGCACGTCGCCTGCCGGAGAAATTGCGCCTGCTTTTCGCCATGGTGTTACTGACACCACTCCTACGACTCGCACGCGACCCTGACTCCCTCTCTGCCTGGACGGTTTTATTGTTTGCCGCCCGTTTGACTCTGCGTCAGCATTCGCCAAGACATCCGGATTGGAAGGCGACCGAAAAACGCCTGCGGAGTTTCCTGCGGGGGGATTGGGAGGCGCTGTACCTGGAAACGATAGATTCACTAGAACAACTACCACCTCCTCGCCACGTGCCAGATGAGTTAGGCATCATCTCCAGAGCCGAGGGACTGGCACGACGTGGCAGTTTGAGGAGGGCGGTCATGGCGCTGAAAGCCACCCCTGTCAGCACACCCTCACCTGCTGTGCTGGACGCCCTCCGCGCCAAGCATCCCAGTGCTTCCCGCCCTGTCTCACCGTGGCCCCAGCCCAGCCCGAGCCAGACTCTCACCTGTCAGTAACGCGAGAAGCTTTTCTGACGCTTCTCTCAAGATGTGAGAACGGGGTTGGCGCGGGGCCCTCAGGCACAACTTTCGAGCACATCCGCGAAGCTGCCCTGCTGCACAGCACAGTCAGTTCTCACCTGCACGCATTAGTTAACACAATCCTGAGCGGGAAACTGCACCAGGAGGTGGGGAAGCTTCTTACAGCATCACGTTTAATAGCATTAGACAAACCTGACGGGGGGACCAGGCCGATCGCTATAGGCGAATGCATCCTCCGCCTGGCAGCCAAGGCAGCACTAACGCAGTTGGCAGACGCAGCAAGGGAATTCTTCTTACCTCTGCAGTTTGGTGTGGCCGTGCCTGGCGGGGCTGAGGCGGTCATCCATATCGTTAGGACCTATGTGGCGGCTAACCCGGATGCGCTAGTCCTGCAGGCGGACCTGGCTAATGCCTTCAACAGCGTCAACCGCCTGGCAATAGCAAAAGCCCTGAAGGGCTCACGATTAGAGCCGCTGCTGCCACTGGTTCGCTTCTCATACGGCCAGCCCTCTCTCCTTCACCTGGACGCGGCCTTTGCTCACCCGCCCCTGCACAGTGAAACCGGTGTCCGCCAGGGGGATCCCCTCGGTCCCCTTCTCTTCGCCGCTGCCATGCACCCTGCTCTTAAAGCCGCAGCGGAGGTCCACCCATCCGTCGTCTGCCTAGCCTACGCAGACGACGTGACCTTCCTCGGGGAGCCATCGGCGTGCGTGGCTGCCTTCGAACACTTCACGGGCCACCTGGCGGAAATTGGGCTCCGCCATAACCCAGCCTAATGCGGGGCTTGGTCCAGCAAGATGTCCCCGGACTGCCGTTTGCCTGAAGGAGTTCCTCCCAGCAGCGACGGCCTGAAAGTATTGGGCAGCTACATCGGCACGGCACCAGCAACTTCAGATTTTGTACGTACCAGTCTTGCGGGGATGAGCGCGCCGCTGGACCTGATCGAGCGGATGGACCCGCAGCTGGCGGGTCTGCTGCTGTCCCGGTGTATCTCTCGCCGGGTCTCTTACCTCGCACGCACGACACCCTTGCCGTTTCTGCCCAAGGAGGAGTGGTCAAGCTGGGGGAGGCGGCTGCTGGAAACCCTTCTCACGGCGTGCGGGATTAGCCATCCGCGGGGAGACGAGGAGATGGCACGCGTCTGGGCGCAAGCGTCTCTCCCCGTGTCGCTCGGGGGGGTTGGCCTAGCAGACCCCTCGGTGGAAGGGCGCTACAGCTTCCTCGCCAGCTACACGCAGGCGCAGCAGCTGCTGGATTCCCTGGACATTGAATGCATCGGCCCATTGGAGGGCACCCGTGGGCTGATGCGGGGCCCCTACACCCAGGCCTCCCCCCTGACCGAGTGGCTGGCGGAATGTGAGGAGGGGCTGCCTCTGCCGGCAATGGAGGTCCTGCAGACGGAACGAGCGGCCCCAACAACGGGGAAGCTGCAGCATGGATTGGCCACCGCTATCCAAGGACAGCGGTATGCGGTGCAGGTGGAGGAGGTGCGGAGGATGCGGCCGAAACCCAACAACGGCCACACCCAACGGATGTTGTCTCTGTCAGGTTATGGGGGGGTGATTGTTTAAATGCTGTGCCTCATTCTTCACCATTCGCTTCGGCTAGACGCCCCTCATTATGCCAACGCCCTCCAGTTCCGGCTAGGGCTCCCCTTTGCTGCCCCGGGAGTGTGCAACTGCACGAAGAAGGTCGAGATCTTGGATAAGCGGCTGCCCAATCACCTGCTGCGGATGCGGCGGAACAGGGGGGGACGTACCAACACGCACATGAGCTGAGAGAGACGAGCGCGCGCGAATGGCAAGGGACGCGGCTTCATGGTGCACATGGACGTCGGCCGCATTCAGCCCTTGGAAGGGAAGAAGGCTGACCTAGCCCTCCGCGACCGCACTACCAGCGCGGGTCTACATCTGCGACGTGACTGTGACGGATCCGATTAGCACCCGGACGAGAATGCAACCAGGGGACGGGGATGGGCAGCACGGGAAGCCGCGGATAAAAAGATTGGCCTTTACAAGGACCGCCCGGAAGGGGTCAAGTTCTTCCCCCTCGCGGTCGAGACGTACGGGTGCCCTTGCCCCGAGACAGTGGACTTCCTGAAGTTACTTGCAGAATCGGCTGCACGCGGTTCTTCAACGCCGAGCCCACCTCCTACCAAGCTGCCAAGCTCTTACACCAATATCGGCAGCGGTGGTCGGTGGCTCTTCAAAGGGGGCAGTCAGTCGGGTACCAAGAGAAATGCAACATCGCAGCAGCGGTAGAAAACCCGCTGCTTGAGGCGGTAGGAGAGGCCCCGTCACTTGGAGATTGCCTCATGGTCTTGGACCCCACCCTGGACCTCCCCTAGAGGGAGCCACGGGGGGGGGGGAGGGGGAGGCTGCGTTGCAAGATGAGTAGGAGGCTTAGATTTGTGACGACTGTTGCGTGCCATACCAATACCTTGCATGTGTGTACTCCACGATTATCAATGAAAGGGCCATTAGAGAGAGAGCGCCGGAACGCGTGGGTGGGCTTCCATGCCCTAGCAGTCGAGACCTATGGGTACCCCTCGCCCGGGGTGATGGCGTTTCTGCGGCAATGCGCGGAGCTGGCGGCCAAGCTGAGATTCAACGCCGCTCCCTCCTCCTACGAGGCCGCCAAGCTTCTGACGGAATACCGCCAGCGCTGGAGCGTGTGCCTCCAGAGGGCGCAGGCCAACGCCCTCCGCTGCAAGACCAATGAGGCCCTGGCAGCGGACGAGCTGGGCATACGGGGGCCCTTTACCCCCCTTAGCGAGGGCCAGCTGTACCAGCTGATCGAGCCCCCCGTTCGACCATTAGGGTCGGACAGAGGGGGGCGGGAGTAGATAGGAGTTTGAGTGGTTGGCTAGATAGGTTTGATTGCTTGTTTGCTTGTGTTTTTGCATCTTCCTTTGTACCCCCCACTGAATAATGCAAGGTCCATTCGAGAGAGAGAGAGAGAGAGCAGCAAGGCAGGCAAGCGGCCCCCACCGGTGGGTGGGCAGTGGGCACTGGGCGGAGGGGGGAGTGGTTGGCTGGGAGGAGTGGAGGCAAGGCACATCAATTGTGAAACACAAGACAATGCAGCAACGCAACGCACCGCAACGCAACGCAATGCACCTCTTCAGAAGCACCGCAGCAGACTTGGTAGAAGGCATGGTAGTTGCGCTCGGGGTCTGATATCTGCACCACTCTGGACCGCTCCAGCAGGTACGTGCGCACCGCTGCACCCGATATGCGCCCCGCCCGGTCAAACTGAATCTCCACGAACTTGCCAAAGCGACTGGTGGAGGGGGAGGGGAGGGCGGGAAGGGGAGGAGGGTGAGGAGAGTGAGGAGAAGCGAGGGAGCAGGCTGGGGAAACGGGAGAAGGGGGAAAAGTAAGAGAAAAGGAGGTGTTGAATTTAGGGAGGAATAGATGGGTGGACGAGAGAGGAGAGGAGGAGGGCGGGCAAAGGAGAGGGAGGGTGGAGAGAGGGGTGAGGGGTTATGTGGAGTGGAGGAGTGAGCTTGCCTGGAGTTGTTGTTGCGTACAGTCTTGGCATTCCCAAAGGCCTCCAGCAATGGGTTTGACTGGCAGAAACACACGCACGCAGGTAGACAGGCACACAGGCATGGGAAACGGAATCACAGTTCCAGCAGAGGACAAGGCACATGAAGCAGATGGCAGGAGTACGAGTGCAACGGGTGGTGGTCAATCAGACAATGGCATGCGAGCATGCATGCATACATGCATGCATGCACCCTTCTGGCACACATCTCCAGGCCTGCCATGCCATGCCATGCTCATACCTGCGTGCCATGCCAATGCCTGCACAGGCAGCATAGCAGTGCGGGCAGAGCAGGCGTGAGCAGAGCATGGGTGCAGCAAGCATGCACAGCCCTCAAGGCGACTTGAGAGCGGGCCTAAACGCAAAGGAGCACAGACCTCAAGGTGACTCTAGAATGGACATAAGAGGCAGGCAGGGCAAGGGCGCACGCACGCACCTCAAGCACTTGCGATTCAATGGTACGGCCGTCAGAGGAGGCGCGGCCTCCCATGTAGGCGAGTACTACTGCATGATGAGCTTCGTGGTCTCCGTCTTGCCCGCCCCGCTCTCCCCACTCACGAGGATGGACTGGCTCGCACCATAGTCCACCATCGCCCTGGATGGGGGCGGCAGGGGGAGGAGAGGAGTGGGGAGGAGAGGGTACGGGGTACGGAGTTGAAGTGTGATGAGCTTGGTGGTCTCTGTCTTGCCGGCTCCACTCTCCCCAGTCACTATTTATATAATACACACCGATATTCACATGCATATGCACACGCACATGCCCGTGCCATGCCCCATGCCCATGCCCATGCCCATGCCCATGCACGCACGCACGAACACATGCACGGGCACACGTAACACACACATATGCGCGCATACATACACGCATGAACGCAAGTGCGAGTGCAATGACACGTGCCCATAAACATGCACACACCAGTGCGAGTGGGCAGGCAGGGAGGCAACAGCTCGTGCCGCCACAGCGGAGGCTCCCAATCTTGCATGTGGCCTCTAACATGCTAGGACATACGGCAACAGCTCTCTGGCATCTTGCGTGCGCTTGAACCTCTGCGTTGCAGCACGTGCTGTGCCGCGCCACGTGCTCGCCTCGTCGCACACATGCTGCACACGCAAGTGCCACCCGCCATGGGCGCACGCGTGCTCACAAGCGCACACAAAGCACGCACAAAGCAATCGCACAAGCACACATACCAGCACGCCCGCCCGCCCACCCACCCACCTGTACGCTGCCTCAGCAATGGCAAAGACGTGAGGAGAGAGCTCGCCCAGGCGAGTGCCCTTGTACTGCTCCATCATCTGCTCGTCGTACAGATGTGGCAACGCACAGAACGGGTTGATCGCTATCAGAATGCTCCCCGTGTACGTCTGTGTGGTGCGCTCACACACGAGGGGGAAAGCGGGTTCGGGAGAGGGGTAAGGAGGAGAGGGAGTTGGAAGGAGGGTGTTGCGCAGGTGTAGCAGATTATGGTGGTGTGTGTGTGTGTGACTGGTGTGGCATGTGGTGTGGATGTGCAGGGGATCCAGTGAGGGCAGCAGAGAAGGGGTGAGTGCAAGTAGCAGGGCGGATGGACGGCACGGCAGTAGCCAAGTTGAGTCATTGCAATGCAGCACGTGCCGTGCAGCACCATGTGCTTGTCACACACGTGGAGAACTCACGACAAGTGCATCCCGCCGTACATGCATGCACCCTCACAGCACAAGTACACACACACACACACAACCGCGCGCACGCGCGCACACACAATCTCTCAGCAATCCATGCCCTTGTCTAAATACACACATCATGCCTCGGCAGCACTGCATATAGGCGCCACAAACCCCACCACTCCAAAAGCACTCCCTCCTATGCACACCATCCGGCCCACCCCCAGAATTATCTGAAGCACTGCACTTGTTATAGCCACGCACGTAGATCTCATCGGCGGAGTATCGTAGGAAGAGGTTGTGAACTTCGAGTCGGCTAAATATCCATTCCTTCCTTACAGTGGAGCACAGCACTGTGCGGAAGGAGCACCAGTGGCAAAAGGAGCTGTGATTCTTTACGCACGTAGATCTCATCGATGGAGTATCGCAGAAAGAGGTTGTGCACTTCGAGACGGCTAAAAATCCATTCCTTACAGAGGAGTGGAGCACTGTGCGGAAGGAGCACCTGTTGCAGACGAGAAGAAGGTACGCACGTAGATCTCGTCGATGGAGTATCGCAGGAAGAGGTTGTGCAGCACGCCTGGCTCGTGCAGGTAGGACAGCTTGGTCATGTCGTCCACCCCACAGCTCGGTGCATCCTCGTCCCTCGGATGGCAGTGCTTCAACCGAATCACGGCCTGAGAGGAAGGTTGGGGAAATACGGAGAGGAGAGGGTGGAGAGCAGAGGGCAAAGAGCAGGGAGTAGGGAGCAGAGGGAAGAGAGGGGAAAGGGAGGGGAATAAGGCAAGAGAGTCATCTATGCAGGTTAGGTTGCAGTGCTTCTGATGGCTGTCAGTGCGGTCGTTGCTCGACGTCACCTGCAGCACGGCCCCACAATGAGCTCCACCAACTCTGGAGCACAGCAGCTGCGAGACTCACAGATTGGTGCAATGGAGGCCTGTCCTGACACCTGTCCCATCACTGCGCCTCACCTCCTTGCCCTTGTAGCTGACGGTGACTTTCTTCTTCTCTACGGCTGTCACCACGGCATCCACCCATGCCTCCTCGGGATCCTCCACCCACACGTGCGACCCCACCACCACCACTGACGGCGCCTGCTCGCATCGCACCCACCACAGGGAGGAGTGAGTGGGGAGAGAGTCCAGGGCATTGGCGAGATGGTAAGGGGAGGAGGAATGAAGCATGCATGCACGGGGGTTACTGTGATAGTTGGAGCAGGAGAGGAGGGGGTGGGAGGCGCGTCTCTTTTTGTCTCCTCTCCTTCGTCACACCATCAGACTCTTATGGACTCATGCTCGCACTATGGCCCATGCTCGCACACCCTCCCTCTTTCCCTCCCTTCTCCCTCTATCCTCCCAACCCCCTCCTCCAAGTATTCCTCCTTTCCCACCTCCTCTTCCTTCCCCACTCTCACTTCCTGCTTGCTCAGACTCTTCCCCACTCCCCTCCGCCTCTCCTTTTTCCCTCCTCGTCCTTCCCTCCCCGCCCTCTCCCTCGCCGCATATCACCATGCACGTTCAGCCATGAAAGACAACTATATTTGTCCCCACTAGACCCCCCCCCCCTCTTCCCCTTCCTCTCCTTTCCCATCCTTTCCTTCCCCACCCTCTCCTTTTACCCCATCTCCTATCCAACCCTCTCTTTTCTCCTCCTCTCCTATCCCCTCCTCTCATAACCCCCCTCTCCTATCCCCTTCTCGCCTTTCAAACCACTCTTCTTCCCTTCCCCTCCTCGTCCTTCCCCCCCTCTCCTTTCCCCCTCCCTCCCTTTCCCCCTCTCTTTTCCCCCCTCTCTTTTTTCCCCCCCCCCCCCCCCCCCTCTTTCTCCCCCTCCTTTTCCCCCCTCTCCTTTTCCCACCCTCCCGTTCCCCCCTCCACTTTTGCCCCATATCCTTCTTCCCCCCTTCTCCTTTTCCCCCCTCGCCTTCCTCTCCCTCTCATTTCCCCTCTCTCTTTTCCCCACTCTCCTTTCGACCCCCCCCTTTTCCCTTTCCCTTCCATTCCCTTCCCCCTTTTTCCCCTTCCCCCTCTCTTCCCCACACCTCCTTTCTTTTCCCCCGGTTTCTTTTCCCCCGGTTTCTTTTCCCCCGTTTTTCTTTTCCCCCCGGTTTCTTTTCCCCCGGTTTCTTTTCCCCCGTTTCTTTTCCCCCCGGTTTCTTTTTCCCCCGGTTTCTTTTTCCCCTTCTGTTTTCCACGCCTCTCCTTTCCCCCCCCTCTCTTTTCCCTCCTTCTCCACCTCTCTCCTTTCCCCCCCCCCCTTTCCCCCCCCCCTCCTTTTCCTCTTCTCCTATTTCCCACTCTCCTTTTCCTCTCTCTCATTTCCTCCCCTCTCGTTTTCCCATCCTCTTCTTCCCTTTCTCCTTGTCCCGTCTCCTTCTCACCCTCTACTTTGCGCCCTCCCGTTCCCCTCTCTCATTTCCCCCCCTCCCCTCTTTCCTTTCCCCCCCTCTCCTTTCCCTCCCTCAGCTTTCCCCCCAGTCCTTTCCCCCCCTCTCCCTTCCCCCCTCTACCTTCAACCCTTCTTCCTTCCCCACTCTCCTCCCCCCTCCTCTCCTTTCCTCCTCCCCTCTCCTTCCCCCTCCTCCCCTTTCCTCCCCTCTCCTTTCGTCCTTCTCATTTCCCCCCCCCTCTTCTTTTCCCACCTCTCCTTTCCTTCCCTCTCCTTTCCTTCCCTCTCCTTTCCCCCTCTCCTTTCCAACCCTCTCGTTTCCTCTCTCCTCTCCATTCCTCCCCTCTCCTTTTCCCCCCTCTCCTTTCCCCACCTCTCCCTTCCCCCTCCCTCCCTTCCCCTTCTCCCCCTTCTCCTTCTCCCCCCTCCCCTTCCTCCTCTCTTCCTTCCCCCTCCTCTCCTTCCCCCCCTCTCCTTCCCCCCCCTCTCCTTTCCCACCTCTCCTTTCCTCCCCTCTCCTCCTTCCCCCCCTCTTTCCCCCCCTTTCCTCCCCCTCCTCTCCTTTTCCCCCCTCTCCTTTCCCCCCTCCTCCCCCTCCTCTCCTTTTCCCCCCTCTCCTTTCCCCCCCTTTCCTCCCCCTCCTCTCCTTTTCCCCCCTCTCCTTTCCACCATCCTTTCCCCCTTCTCCTTTGTCCCTTCACTACACCCTCGACACTACCTCGTTTCAACCCAGTTCACCACCTCTCCCCATCACCTCTCCCGACCGCTTCTCCCCACCACCTTTCCCCTCGTGCCTGCACATGCCGCAAGCACGCAATCGACCTAAACGCACCGACGCTGATACCACTCACTCATCCTCCCTCCCGCGCACCGGCAGGTGGCCTGGCAGCGCGGGGTCGGCATCGAAGCGCCTTAGACGCACGAAGCTTAAATACCAATCGCACACGAGAGGGCATAAACGTTGCGACTCTATCCGACGAGCGACACGGCAGACGAGAGCCGCAAAAGTGAACACTCGATAGAACGACAGAACGAACGCACGACGGCACGAACGCACGACGGCACGAACGCACGACGGCACGGCCGCACAGAGTCGCGAAGGCGCGACGCGTGGATTGTCACAGCACGCGCCCGCGTGATCTAACGTTTAAGCGAAGAGCACGCACCATTCTCGCCGCGTGCTGCCAGTGGCGCCAGCACGAGGAGTTGGAATAAACGCGACCACAAGGAGGCTTTCAGTGAGTCGATTCGCGCGTTGGCCTATCACAGACAGTCTCGGGACGCATGCAAGGCGCAACGCTAATTCGAGTTGCTCAAAGGGTTGGGCTACGCCATAGCTTGTGCTTGGATTGTTGAGCAACGCAAAGACTAAACTAGTCTGGCGGAACAAGGCACGGACAGAGTTGTATCGTGTGTTGTCGACTCCGTCGCAGTCGGATCCGCTATGTTGGCCTCGCTGATAGGCGCGAAGTTTACACGTTATTTTTAAAATCATTGGAGCTCGTGAACTGTGCTGTATACCTAGGTTGGATGAGCAAAAACAAATTCAAAAATTTTATTCCATCTATTAAGATTCTCTGAAAAGAAAATAAAATCAGATAGTCAGAATAAAACTACTACTCGCCCTGAAATCAGAGGCAAAAGAACAGCCGGTAAGCCCTGCGGGATGTGAAGTGAAACATGTACCAATGTGATATTACATACCTAGAGTTTTGTGAGGTGTTGACATCGTGTACAGTAAAACGCGTTACACATCCCCAACCCAAACAGTCTCCCTCTGTATGTATGGTACATACATGTCTGCATATGTGCCTTCAAACGGTCAACTGGCAGCCTGTTTTGAGTACAGCTTCTGTTCTGTGCGTACCAGCATGGTTGCCCACAAACACTCTCCCCCTAGTACAGCTTTTTCAGTGTTTGCACGCGTGCCTTCTTGGCGGCATGCTTCTGTGCCTTGGTCTCTGTCTTCTCTCGGATCGCAAGCGCCTTATCGAGCAGCTTCTGCTTCCTCCTCGTCTTGGCTCGTCGCTCCGGTGCCCCCTTCTTCCTGTCAGGTGGCATGTGGGTGTTCGGTGACATTCAAACAGTAATTTATCTTAAATGAAAATGGGTGATGATAGACGACTGAGTGTAAATGACAGACAGAACAAATTTTATCATTGATATGGTTATCATTGATACATGACACCTGTGATTGGGGTGTGAACGTAGGTGATTCTGACAGAATGTGTTTATTGAGAGCAACGGTATCTCAAAACAACTTCTGATGCGCCACACAACAACTTTAAAACACATATGTGGGAGGCTCACCGCATGGCTGGCAGCGCGGGTAGGCTGCGAGCTGCATCAGCCGAAGCCTTGATCACGGTGAACCCCATCGTCTCACTCGTGTCTGTCAAGGGGGGGGCGAGGGGGAGGGGGGAAGGGAAAGGGGAAGGGGAGTTGGAAGGCACACGGGGAGTGTGACTTGGGGTGGTGACTTGGGGCGGTGACCTGTGTGGCTGTGTGCAGTGCAAGCCGACTCCTTGATCACAGTGCACCCCATTGTCTCACTCGTGCCCGAGGGAAAATGGGTGGCGCAGATGGGTGAGGGTTGGAGGGGTGATGCAGAGGGAAAGGAGGAGAGAGGGGGAGGAGAGGGACGAGAGGGAGGGGGGAAGATGTAAAGGAGGACACGGAGGGAAAGAGGGGTGAATTTGTTGCCGTTGGCTGCCTGGTTTGTGTGAGAGGAGGCGCGCAAGGCGGGAAAGGGGTAAAAGGGGGGGGTTCCAGGGGGAAAGGGGAGAGAGAGCGCGTGCGGGGCAAGGGTGGAAAAGGGGAGGAAAAGGGAGGAGAGGGGATGGTTGGCAAGGGTGGCGGAGGTGAAGGGCGGAAGCCTGGTCGGCGCCCGGGGGAGTGAGGCGGTGGGATGAAGCGCGTGGGGGAAGTGGGGGGGAATAAGGAGGCATGAGTCGCATGCGAGATGAACCATACGAGAGCTGCCATAACGATTGCAACATTATTTTTAGGAACTTTGCAAATAACACGGGGGTTCTTCTAAAGAGATGACACGTCTTAACAGCTCAGGCGACGAGCCTAGTTGTTGCACATAATTCAGGGTTCCCTCAATTCTTCCTGTTAAGCCAAGTCAATAAAATGGTTCCCCTCCCATTGTGTTTTCCCCATCTAATCTTCCACTTACCCATTGCATTGCCGCTAGCGATCGGACCTCCCGCCTCCTGGCCGGATGCAGCAGCGCCTTCCTCGGCGGCTGAAGCGGCGGGAAATCCTGCGGTCGCGGCGTCCTTAGCGGCTTCCGTGGCGGATGTCACGGCAGCGTCGCCAATGTCCATGTCGCCAGCCCCGCCCTGGTTCTTAGCCTTCCGCTTCTTCACCATCTTCGTCGGAAAAAAATATATATTTATATATAGACAAGACTGTAAATATTCGAAGAAAATAGAATCAAGCAGCGGCACTTTCCAGCACCAGTTTCGAAAGGGATTGGGACAATGAGAACTGATTAGGGCAGACGGGGTGATGCTCAGAGGTTGCGATAGGGTTTTTGTGGGGGTGAGAAATCACTGTGTTTGTTCCTAGCCATCATAGAAAATTAACGTCTACACTTCTGTTCTACACTTCTGTGAAAATGTTGAAAGCAGAAAACAAAAGGTTTTGTGCGGTAATAGGGTGGTAGTGGCTACAAAGTTCTCCAGGGTGTCCGTGTTTCGGACCATCCTCGATTGCTTCAGCCACTGATGGAAGATTGCTTCGTCGTCTTTAGTCAATGCGGCAACTGTCTCAAAGTTTGTAACCAAACTTCGCTGTACGATTTCTTCGTCGCCGCTCCCCTTCACTCAAATTGGGCGCCAGATATTCGCGACCTCTAAACTTGGGGCCCTCAATTTCTCTCCTCGTTCTATGGATCCCCTGCTTAGCGAAGGACAGAAATCATGATACTTCAGGGGCGGGGCAATGGGTGATGCCTTGGGCTGCACTCGTCCTCCTCTCTCACGTTCTTCATGCACTTTCCTCTCACCCACGTTCTCAGCCCCAACTATTCTGCAATAAAAAGGATCACCACGGCTGAACCATTTTTCCGCCGATGCAAAAGGAATCAGCAGACACGAGCCCTTATCCGCAGTCGTTCGCGTAGGGAAACTCAAGGTGAACCGTTTCTCGCAACTGCAAACGGAGCTTAGCAGGCACACGAGTTCCTCCTAATCCGCCGCTGATCACTCAGACCTTCCGAATCTGTCAGCACCTATTTGGACGGAAAGCTTTACCACCCACATTTTGCAAACGCGAACCCAGTTAACCCCGCGTGTCTGATTGACCCAGCAGAGCGCATCGCATCCCATCCCAGCCCACGAAATCCACGTCGGGTCAACGTGACATCCCACTTATGAGCAAAGAGCATAGCTTTTTCGATTCTCCCCAGCGAAATACTAACACTGAAACCATCAACCCGGATGGCGGTTGGGGCAATTCGTTGGTTGTTGATACCGGTGCATTCGCCCTTGGAGACGCGGCCGAGGCCTTAATACTTCCTCTTGACGGCGCCACGGCGCCGTCCATCGAACCGCAAGGCGAACTAATGGGCGAATTTCATCGCGAGATATCACACGGCGAATTGATGGAGGTTGATGAAGGACTCCCCATGACGGACTACGGTTTCTGGCAAGGAAACGACACGACGGACCCCTCCCATGCATTGCATACTGACGAATCGATCAACTTCTCGTCCACCTCGTGGAACTTTCAAGTCGCCAGCGCTTCTTTTGAGGCTCTGCCCGCGAATCCCCCCGCGATAGGCGGCGAATCTGCTCAGCCGACTGGTACTCCGCCTATGAGTGTCGAGTCGGCATCGGTAGGTGAGGCCACGGCAGAGCAGCAGCAACGCGCGAGCCAGTGTGTTGACATTGGCGTTAGCGTGGGTGTAATTGAGTGTGCCGATGCTGACGCTGCTGACGCTGATGCTACTTCTAATGCCATTGTTGATGCAAAAGGCGACGCGACGGCAGAGAAGCAGTACGGGGGGCAGGTTGCAGGCGCTCGCGTTGCCGTCGGTAATTTTGATGACGCTGGTGCTGGCGGCACGGGGCTGACCTTCACAGGAGTGTTGCAGCAGATCAAGCAACTAAAATGGCAGGAGGGTGCGAGTGGTTTCGACTGCGCCAGGCCGGCGTCGACCACCATCATGCAGTCCACTCGGAGTTCAAGCAACAACCACCTGGCAGAAGTGTCGAGTCAACACATCCCACTCGTAAGCAATCACCAATTCGATGCTAGCACCATCTTACCCCCTCAACCGCAAACGACGAATTTGATCGGAGGCGCTTCAACCCCTTTGGTGCAGTCGGCTTCAGCAGCTGTGCAGCCGGAGGAAGCTTCCAAAAGGGGGGACAAACTAGAGCCTTTAAAAAGGCAAATAAGGGAAATAAGGGAGAAGGGTAACAAGAGGGCGAAACTCATCGGACCTGCTGCTTCCGCTCCCACTCCAACCACCCCAGCCACTCCTACTACTTCAACTAGCCCAACCCCATCTGCTCCTGCCAGCCCGGCCGCTGATGTGTCATCTGCTTCCAGTTCAGATGCACCTGCAGCTGTAAGCACGAGCTTGAGTAATGCAAACTACAGGTGGCACAACAATGGAAACAAAGTAATTCGCCTGACAGGGGAATCTCGCTTTCTGAGAAAGTACTACCGCTGCAGTCTACATTTGGCAGGCTGCCGGGCGACGAGAACCGTTGATGTTGTTGACGATCAGCCACTGAGAGAGGCGTTTCGTGGTACACACAACCATGCACCACCCGCGAGGAGGGAAAAACAAGGTCGTACACAGGGTTTCTAAAGCCCATTACTTATTGCATAATCTGTGCCAGTAAAAACTCGCACATAGTGCTACTGATGTTTTGTTCCTCTTGTACAATAATGTTCTTTGCTATTTACGTAGGTATTGTTTTGCTGTTTTGTTCCTCTTGTGCAATAATGTGCTTTGTTATTTACGAGTGTAATGTTTTTGCTTGGAGTAAATAATTGACACCATGTATTACAAAGACCCATGTTTCCACTTACATACGGCACCGGAAAGCGGGAAAGAGGGCCTACAGGCATAAGCAACTCTGCAAAGGAGAGTGCTCCTGCTGCAAACGAGGCGGTGGAGCGACGGGTAAGCCAAGAAAAGGTGGATTATGTGGAGCAGATGTCGCCGCAGTCACTCCCGTAACAGTAACACTCGCTTGTGGCGTCCTCCGGTACTTGCACCCAGAGCTGCGGCTGCGGCTGACGTTAATCCAACTCGCGCGGAGAGTTGAGAGAGTGGCAGCGGGCTTTTGCATCTGGCCGTTGAATCTCATAATCGCAGTGCACCGTAAATATTAGCGCTTGTCCCCGTGTCACTACTGAGAAGTTCAAGCTGACTAGTCCAGGACGTTGAGAGACGCATGTACAGGAAGCAAACGAAGGTGCAACGTTCGTTAGGATAACTCAAGGGGCTGAAGAGAGTGTTCGTAGTAGTTGCTAATTCTTGACGCAACAAGCCTGACTATGTGTGTCAACTAATCTCGATCTGCTTGTGCTTGAGCTTACGAGTAGACGGGCTTTTCATGGCGGGCATAGGTCGGGGAGCTTCGCTGGGCTGGTGGTCCAAACGCGGCTCGGCTTGGCTGGAGCTGCGATTCTGTCGACGTCGGCACAATTCTGAAAATGTGCTGAATCCGAGGAAATGACGGACCGCCGTGTTTGCGCGTTTTCGATTCCTTTCGGCAGTGGCTTTGACGGCGACCCCGACCGCGCTCGCGCCCAATTCCCGCGGGCAGTTTTTATTGCAGTTTCCCATTTTTCGTGACCAAACGAACAGAAGGGCAAATACTAAGTCTACCTGGTTACAGTATGAGGCCAGTGGAAAAACTAAAACCCACTCGGATGACAAGCCATTTGGGAGGCATCAACCCTAAACACCTTGCTGAATCCTGGAGAATAGTTTCGTGCGCAGCACACAAGAAAGCATACAAATTGGTGCCACTAAGCTGTTCTACCGTGGGACTCATCTGGGAAAACGCGTTTCACCGAGCCGAAACCCAGATTACGTGCGCGGCGCGGTTCCGATTTTTGTCGCACCTTCTGGCCACCACACACACCCCTCCATTCCAAACCAAACCTCTCTCATCGCACCTATCAACCTTCTCCTGGAGTGTAGTACACCAATATGCAAAGTGTTAGGCCAGCTGGCCTAAATCCGCTAACTAATAGCGGGGTCGACTAAGTCGAGGATAAACGCGGCGGAAGACTTTGGCGAAATAGACGGAGTAGTTACTGAGTAATTGAATGAGAATTGGTTGATAATGGCAAGTACAAGCAAGGTTTAATTAGCATGCGAGAGCGATTGTTGGAAAGCGGTTTGCGGGAATTGGAATGGGAATTGGAATGCAAGAAAGCTGGAGTGCCACGTGGTACAAGGAAATCTAGGAAATCCCAAAGGGATTGGATGAAGATAGGGTTGGTGTCAAATTATATATGTGTTGTATATGTGTAGGCTGTAGTATGGTAGCCAATATGGGGTATAGCCCCTTTAGGGTTTCATACTTGTACCAAACTGTGACCTACCGTATTCTCCCGGATATAAGACCCGGGGGACTTTCCTAAAATAGAGGCAAAATGACTAGGGTGAACATTTAATCGGCACGAGTTGTAAGAGTCCCGAGTACACTCAATAATCAAGTACAGTTTTGCGATTTATGGGTGTACACACTTGATTTGAAAGGGGGGGGGGTCTTATGTTCGAACCAAAAGAAAAATTCGCGTGCGCGAAATTCGCGCGAGCAGCGCGTCAGAAGCGTCAGATCTCGTATCTGACACGATTGGTGTGTCAGAACCCGATTCTTACACAGATGACGGGTCAGATTTCGGATTCTGTGCCTCTAAAAGCTTACGCGCATATTCTATTTTCCCTACTGTATTCCCCAAAGGGGGGTCTTATATTGTTTTACAGCAAAAGGGGGGTCCTCTAACATATGGTACATATTAAAAGTCCCAGTACCGTTCAAAAGTCCCGGGGGTCTTTTTTTTCGTGAGGGTCCTATATCCGGGAGAATACGGTAGCTCATTCATTCCAGCTAGTCTTTCTGAAATGGTTTCAGAGCAGTAGGTTCGTAGGACCGCGTCCTTTTTTTTTCCGAGCCCATCGATCGCTCGTTACCGCGCTACCCCACGTGTCGACCTGCGCTGCGCCGCCTGCGGAGATGACTACTACAACGGGAGCTAGGCTGCGGGCTAGGCACGAGTGCTCATGTGATCTCTGCGTTCGTTGTTCCTTAGTCGTTTTCCTAGTGCACACACTGCTTGCTAGTCCACAAGGCAATTTGGCAAGAGTTTCACTAAGAAAAGTTGACAACAATGG